TATTCCCTTGAGAAGCTACCTGGCTTCTGAAGCATTTGCTGAAGCATGAGAAATACTACAGATGACTGCTTGAATCATTTCCAGATAACAAAATATCTTTATTTAAAATCTGATCTTGTTTAATGCTTAAAGTTCAGAAAGAAAAAATTAAATTCAAAGAAACTTATAAAAGCTTCTTGTAAAATAACAGTACTCCTCAGCAAAATATTAGTGTTAATAACTAAAGATTAGTGAAGTCCATAACTCTAAACTGAATCAGAACAAGAACTGTTTCTTGTAGAGTTTTCTTCTTTGGCAAAACCCAGAAGGTATCACTTTTCATTATGAGGTAAGCAAAGTTTGCTAACAAAGATTTTCATTTAAACTAAAAAGGAGGACATAGACTATGAAGATCAAATGAGAAACAGTTTCTCACCTTTTAAAGTCTGTGACTAATCAGGACAAGTCAATGAGTCTCCATCTCTGAATGGTCTCTTTGTCCAAGTAACTGCAACAAACAACGTGATCATAACCTTCATGTAATGTCATGTTTGGCACCTCTTACGGGTGCTTTGGATGCCTTAGGGCCTGGCAGGTGCCAGTGGACGTCTCGAAAAGTGAATCAAACTTCTGGCCTAGGCCGGTGAGATACTGGGCTTTGAGGCCCCAGTGATGGTACTAACCAGACCTCCACTACCTACCGTGGAGTTTAAACAGCTACCCACATCAGCCCTTACACACAGACGCATAAATGCAGGTGTCCATCTCAAACTTACCTCCTCTCAAAGCCAGAAAAAGCAGCCATGGTAAGCAACCTGTTCTGTTTCTCTACTTATGATGGCAGCTGAATCAGGAAGAAAAAGCAGGCCACCTTTAAGAACTGAGTGCAGCAGAAAATAGGAAAGGTTCCCAAACTCTTTTTGTTCCTGTGTTAATAAAGCTAACTCTTCACAAAGTGGAACTCGTTCATGGGACAGCCTGAGGAGCCCTGTCCACCTGTTGTGTAAACACAGAGCCTACACATGTATGCTGGTAGGTCTCCTCTGACAGTGTTGCATTCCATTTAAATCCATTTTCTGCTTGTTCTTTGATGCACTTTGGTTAACATTCCCAAATTTACAGCATTATTTATCTTCAGTCACTACGCAGCTTAGGAATTGGTAGATAAATCTATCAACTAGAGGACTTAAAGCCTAACTCCTCCCTATCCTAGACCAGTGTCTTACAGGGCCACAGTCCATGAATCTTGAATTATCTTCTTCACAGTGATACAGATTCAACCAGAGGAATTAAGCATGCCCCTACCTTGCCTTATAGCCCTGAGGTTATGACAGTCTTCTGGGCAGTGGCATACATGAATCTGAACCCTCTTAGATTGTACAAAGAATGCCTCTCTCCACTTTGCAAAGTGTTTTCCACACTGAACTGTTCAACGTCTTACTAAAAAGGACTCGAAAGAAAATGAACACCCACCCCTCAATCTATTGCAGGTGAGTCTGCCTTTCGAGGAATATGGCCCACAAGCTCTTCACAGGAATGGCTGAAGTGTTCTCACGTTGAGGTTTCCCTATCAGCAGGCTTCAGGTGATGTTCTGCTGAGAATGTTGGATGTTTGGATTAAAAGCACAAAACTGTACAGGGAAATTGAGCTGCCAAAGGGCCCCACAGGCACTCAGTAGTAAGTGAGATGTTTCAGCTCATTCCAGATCATCTATTCCCAGTTACACTGACAGGAGGCCAAAGGTGCCACTGCAGTGTTTTGGCTCCAAAGCAGCAACTGTTACAGTTTCCTAATCTTAATAAGAAGCTGCAATTGTTTATCTGCTCCATTTTGAAGTGCTTTAACCAAAACTGTCTAGGTTTCTTCAAGAAAGGACAGGGCCATTAGCTTCACGCTGTATGGTTTGCACTCAACATTTCTGTAGATCTGTCCTGCCATTATCATCTTTGGCTGAAGCTCTTGAAAACTGTGAAAGCAGAAATTATATATTTTTATGCTAAAGCTGAAATAAATCCTGAAGCACAATTCTGCCTAAAGAGTGATTTTCTTCAGCCTAAGACATGTCAGAAACATAAAATACCATGCTAAATGTTGATAAGTGTTCTAAATTTGGTGACATATGTGCACTGAAAAAGAAAAATGGAACAAAAATTATTTTGCACATGGCTATACCACTACACCTGAAATGTTATTAGCACAACCACCAAGGACCTCAAGGTACTAACAGGTTCTGATTGCCCTAATCAGCTCATAACCATCCTTTTTTTCTGAAATACCCCTCTGTAATCTCTTCTCCTCTTCCTCCTAGAGATTTAAACTTACTGTATTCAAAGTCAGCTCTCACAGCACGGCTGGGTAAGCTGGTGCAGCTAAGCTGCTCTGCTGTTTGCGGGCAGCAGCTTGGAGCTGTACCTCAGATGGCCAAGCCAATGAAGCCATCACACAACCAGCTGACACATTCAGGCACCTGAGGGACAGCAGGGCACCACCACTTTCACTGGTGCTGTTATCTCTATCAATGCACCCAACTTCTATCCCTATTTTTGCTAAAAGCAGTACAGTGAGGAGGGTGGAGAAATGTGTAATCTTTAGGTATGTACTGAAGTAATTACTTGAGATCACTCCTCTGCATTGGAGCTCCGCTATCTTCTTGCCTTTACTTGTAGTACTCCTGGACTCACATTAAAAGTCACGTATTTGTGAGTCTTCAGAAAGATAAACAGAAGCTTCTGATGACTTGTATTTTAATTGCTCAATAAAAATTGTATTTATTAAGCAGAAAATTATTTCTACTCCTAATTACTACAGCTTTCCTTTTAAAATTGCTACAAAAACAAGTTACAAAAACGTATTTTAAGGATATGCTAGCGTTAGCGTTCAAAAACACCCAGCCAGTGTCAGTAGAATGGTTTTATTCTCAAGAAAAAAAAAAACAAACAGCAACATAAAATATTTTAACACTATTTTTGTTTAAATATTGGTGACAGATTATGCATTTCCTCAAATAAAGTGCTATTTTTATAAATAGGTATTTCATATTTACTTTTACTGTTGTTCTAGCCTCATAATATTGAATAGATAAAGTGTATTTCGGTTAAAGAAGAATGCAGCATTACTCTTCCTCTTCCTTTATATTCCTTCTCATGAAACCATTACATTTTCAGTTTGGACTCCTTTATTTGTATCCAGTCAATAGTGGCATATTCAATTTATATACTTCTTCCTGTAGAAGCTGCCATAATTTGTGGTGTTTTCCATGCCTCCTTCTGTGCTTTTGTTATGTAGGTCTCCTATGGGTTGTTCATCTATGGGTATGAGTAGAATGAAAACATCCACCTTCTTCTACCATCATTCATTTTTCTTGCTCTTCTGACTTGGTTCTTCTCAAATCCAGACCACTGATGCCTTGAACAATTCAACACTTAGGCTGAACTATAAAAGCAACTTCTTTATTATTTTCTTTGATTCTTTGTGAGGTTTGTATTTTACTGCAGAAAGTACTACACAGGCGTAGTTAGGACTAACTTTACAAATTTTCATTTGTACGCTTGGATTTACTTAGTCAGATGCCAAACTTCAAGATATGAAAAAAATCTTTTGTTGCTACCTTTTAGGAGAAACAGCTTCTTGTGGTTTTAAAGAGCAGCCAGGTGCTAAAAGAGAAAAAAAAAAAGTTTGAAAAATTTCCACCAGCAAGACTTACCGCTTTAAAGAAGAGAGAAATTCCACAACTACTGGAACCAGGCCCACATTTCCCAGTGCAATTCTTACACCAGAATCCAACAATTTGACCCTGTAATTCTTTGTACTCATCTTAAGTTATCTCCTGTATGGAGAAGGTATTAAAAGTCAAATTCATGTGTGAAAAAGTCATCTACTAATCTTTCCATTATCCCTCTTTTTTCAATTTGTACTTTTCCAGCAAGTGACTATCTGAATCCTGTATGATTTTTATTTGCAAGTCTATATTGATTTTGCTCCTATTTTTACTTCTCACTCTACAATCCCTAACTTCTTCCTCTGGATAATTTCCATTTGATATTTTTTGACTCTGAATCCAAAAGTGGAACGTAAATATAAAAACAACTCTCTATCTACAGATACATATGTGTAACTATCTATCAATATGCAACATACCATAATATGTAAAGAAAAACCAGAAGACCAGAATTTCCACAAATTATAGACTGAATGGCATCATATTCTTTTTATCATAATCATAGGCATTGTTACTCTTCATTTAACTTTTGTCTGGAGAATATTCAGCTTATCCAAATCCTGCCTTTTTTCATTGCCCCTGCAGATGCTGGTGTGTTCTCTTCCATCGCCACCTGTTAGAAGTATTACGTTTAGATGGGGGAGACCACCTGGACACTTGTACCAAGTGACAAGGAGCATTATTTTCTTTCAAACATTTCAATAAACTTGGTATTAGAAGGCAAACTGAGCTAATAACCAGCATTTAGCTTTACCTCCAACCAATCTTAATGTTTTTTTTTCCTAATGAGGTTTGTGTCCTTCAGAGTACAAACCTTGGGTGCTCTCTTGCCTTTTTCATGTCATTTTTGCAGAAATGGCAAATTCTGTTACAAGCCATAGACTTGGGAAAGGGAACTTCCATGAAATGTTTCCATTTTTTTCTCACAGATCTAACATGTAACACTTCCTTACATATCTATTAATAACTAGCATATAGGATTTTATTTGTACTCTTCTGGAGGAAATAATTTCAGTTGGTTTGCTCCCTTTATTCTTTCCCATAGAATCCACATGAACTTTTTTTTCCTTTTCATTTCTGATTTGGCAAGTTTGTGTTGAGATGCAACTCCCTCTCCTTTGGTGCCATTTTTTTCAATTAACCTGCAGACCACTGCCAGATCTGTTCAACCTCTTAATTATCCAGTTGATGACTGCATGAATCTTGACACACACATCCAAAATAAACTACACAATTAGTCTTGGCAATTAAGCATTCAAAAAGTCCTTTTTTTTTTTTTTTTTTTACCAGAATCATGTAAGCAAAAAGGTCACCTCAAGCTACAAACAGAAACTTTTCCTGAGGTGATATAATTTCTCAAATCTCTTTCCTCGGAAATCTGGACTTTATGCTGCCACTTACTGTTTCATCGAAGCTGAGAGTCCACACAAAGGAGGACCATTTTGTTCCACAGAGCAGTCATTTTGCCTTATGCCTCCATGGGCTGGTCATCTGCTCTAAATGGTGAAGCAACAAGCTAATTCTGTGTTTGCTAGACACAGTTCACTGGGTTATTAAGAAGCAGTATCTTCCTAGTAGTTTCTCTTACCAAGGACGGAGTGATTACTATGCATTGGCAATTTTCCAAGCCATAATTTTTTTCCTTGAAAACCAATGAAGGGTCAAAACTTGTGGTAACATCCACTCCTGGAATGAACTAATTTCATCAGAATTTTCTGAAGGTGACCGATTCATTTCCATTAAAAAAAGAGATGGAGGTAACACTCCCTATTGCAAGTACTGTTCACCTGTTCAGAATACTATGGTGCCTCCGAGCCTAATGGCTTACAGGTCCAGTAACCATTGCATTATTGACACTGCAGTCAGGGCAGCCATCTGCCTCATGCCGATAAGGCAAGGACTGGAATGTGGAGTTTCCATAGCCTAACCTGGTATCCCAGCCCCAGGGATGACACAGTAACTAATGCACAAAAGAAACTTTCTCCCAACCGTGAGCTTTATTATAACTTAAATAGCTCACCTGCCAAACACTCAACAACTTTTCTATGAGTTCTTGTAGTAAATATCACAGGGAGCTCAGAAGCAACAATCTCAGCAGGAGATGCTCAAACAGAAGCTACAAGAAGTCAGCAACTGATTTTGAACTGCCAAAAAAACATCCATAGGAAACTGTGGTATCTTCTGTGAAGGACCAGGAATCAGAATGGGGAAAATCTCAGAAGTGGAAAAAGATGTACAGTGATTGAAAGGACTTTATGATACAGACATTACAGTTATTATGTATATACACATTGTATGCTTCCCCAGAATTTATATTTCCCGGGCATGTCCCGGCCTGTCCACCTCCGTGCTCCTCTGTTTCTCTGCCGATTGGCTGGAGAAGCTGCAGAGAGAGGGGACAGCCTCCATTCGCCTCTTCCCTCCCCGGTTCTTCCCATGTTCCTCCCTCTTTTGCCCGTGTCCCTATCCTGGTTTGTCCCCCCGCTTGTCTGTCTCATGCCCTGCCCTATGTTCTGGCCCTTTCCCCTCCCGAGCTGATAAAAGACCGGGTGCACGCTTGAATAAAGCATTCTACCTGCATCCCATCCTCGTGTCCCGGACCCGTGCTGTGCCACGGTCTCCCCCCGCCCCTTTTTGGACCGCGGCAATCTTCCTAAACAAGCCCGTTGTGTGAAATTAGTTATACCATCAATCCTCTACTTCTGATGGTCTTGCTTTTATTTATTCTGCCTCTCCTTGTTTTCTTTCTACTGCATTCCTTAGAAGGGTGAATGTAGGTAATCACTGCAGCTCTTCTTTCCGTTCTACAAAGACTCATCCAGACGTGTATCTATTTCTGCTGCCTTCCAATCTCCTACCAGATTTGACAAGCGGCAACAGCTCCTGACTCAGGGGTAGCAGGGGAGGAACTGAGCCTGAGCAGTGCGGATTGTGGCATTTTGGGCAGAACTAAAGCTAAGGGGACACTGGAGCTATGGATGAGAAAGGGTATAAGAAGGTGTAGACATTTACAGGCTTGGTGTTGGTAACCAGCCTACAGACCTCCCACAATTATAAGCTACATTTCTGGAAGGTAAGGATTAAGTTTCTTTCCCTCCTGCTTTTTCATTTCTGAATCTTATGGATATATTCGGACTGTATTTCATTTTCTTCTTTACAGCCCTACAGGCTGGAAACTTCATAAAAGCAGAGCTACACTGAGAGCCACTCTGGTTTAGGTACTAAGCTTTTAAAATGACTCAAAATCTTGAGGAAATCACAAGGATAGTGTGGAAAACAGTGGTACCAACATAGCTGGAAGAGCAGGATGTTTCCATCACCCTGTGAGCTACACCTAGCTTTCTAGGAAGGCAAATCATGATGTGGCTTTCTTGCTAACGGTGTCCAGACAGGCTCCTAGAAAGAGCTGTAGAGAAATGAGTGGTTGTGGACCATGCAAAAATGATAAAAATGTCACATATTACTTTTCAAACACACCACAAGAGGCAGCCAGTTACAAATGACATGATGTCAATCAACGAGACCGTAATGAGCTAGAGAAGTAAGCTCACATCAGAAAAAAAAATGGTATTCACCCTGGAAAAACTTGGGAAGGTTCCCATTTCAGAAGCTTTCTTTATGTGGGAGTCCAAGATATCTTAACCTGAGGTACTAGTAAAACAGAATATGAAACAAATACACAGAGCAAATAACAGCAATTTTCCAAGCCAGATGTCCTAAAGAAGCAAAAGGATTAAGCAGCTAAACTGCTGTGTACAGAACACAGGTTGTTGTTTAAATTGCCACATAACTGAGATGTGATAAAATGAAACTAATTGTTTTAATAGACAGTAATACCAGGCAGATTAGCAAAAATTGTAACAAAGGATCTGAAATTTTGTGCAAAATCAAAAAGGGATTTGAGAAGTCTTGCCTCACCAATCTACTGGAATTCCTTGAAGGTGCCAACAGTCTTGTAGACAAAAGAGGTCCGTTTGATGCCTGGATTTTGACAAGGCATTTCACAAGATCCAAGGTTAGCTCTTAAGACAATAAATAACCCACAGGGTAAAAAGAAAATTTCTTGTGTGGATAAATAATCTGTTAGGGAGGCAGAGGACAGAAGGTTGGAGGAAAAAATTATTATTTCCATAGCAGAGAAATTCACCCCCAGCATTTCAGAAGGATCTACATACGAATATTCAGGATATGAACAATATATTCCATATATGATTTCGAAAGGGCATACAGGGTGAAGGGACAAACCTTCTTAAGTTATCCATGTAAATAAAGAGAAAGACAAACAGAAGATTGGTAAAAGGACTTCATGTGACATCAGTGCCCAAACAATAAGATGGCAGACAAAATCTGATGGAGATAAATATGAAGTAATATGAAGGCAAATGGAAAAAAAAGATGTATGCATGGTTATATAAAATTATAGGCTGTGAGCTCAAACTCTGAAGACCACCAGGGTTACAAGACATAGTTCCAACTAACAACAATTCAGAAATAACTAGGAAAGGACAAGAAAACTGAAAGAATACAACTGAAAAACAAACATCACTGTGTCATGTAAATCTGTAATATGCCTACATCTTGAATATTGTATGCTAGACTGGTATCTCCCAAGTCTGAAAAGATTATAGTAGAAAAGAAAAAGAGGTGAGAAAAACTATGGTATTGGGAATGACAAAGCAGCCTGTAAGTCTTCCATCTAGAAAAAACATGACTGAGGAAAAGTATCACTGTTATTTGTAAAATCATCAGTGGCATGGAGGCAGTGAAGAGGAAACAATTGCCCACTGTATCTTCTGATCCAGTAAGATGAAGCAAAAGAAGTCAGGACATGTCAAGTTCACAGAGAACGAAAGCAAGCAGCTCTTCACATCAGTGTCAGATGAGACTGGATGAAAAAGTTGAACACAACTGTATGTACCTTGGATCTGACTTGGTACAGGTGCTCTTATGATCTAAAATATTACACATTCCTGGAAATTACTTCAAGTTCCAGAGACTGCATAAGGGTCCCACTGCTACTTTTTACAATAAAAAGCAGCTTACCTGGTGCAGAAACTTCTTTTATCTACATGCTCTCTTCCTTCTCTGTTAGTGCTTCTGTTGCTATTTCACAGCCAAATCTGTATCATGGAGCTCTCATACACAAAACCCCAAAAGCTAGATCTCTCACGGCAGTCTCCTTGCAGCATCCTGTCAAATGGTTAGCAGTAGCAACTGTTGCTTCCATTCTTACAAAAGGATGTTCTCCCCAACTCTGTGCCACCATTACTGTCCTTTGCTGTCTTCAAGACACATTCAAGCTCAGTGGTTAGGCTCAGCAAGTTGCTTGGAGACACGTTACATCTCTATGCTTCTTCGGTTCTCGAGTAATTCCAGTTCATTACACCATGTTATCAAATCCCAAATGGCAGCTTCTGCTCACCTAATGGTACCTATAGAAGAGGCTCTTCAAGTCTACGATGTTATCAAGGGACATCCAGAAGTTCCCACACACGCTGACTACTCTGAGAACGGGAAGTAAGCTGCACAGTGCATACAGGGATATCTGAAAGTGGCTTTCAGACAAGCAGACAATACAGAATACTGAAAGCAGCCCACATTCACTAACTACCCCAGCAATTCCCAGTTTTCCCCAAGACACCAGGAGGTCTGCAGTTAGCACCTGCTTTCACATATGTAGTGATAAGCAGCTGACTGAGACTGGAACAACTGGGACTTGTTCGTTATTAAGGTTTCCTAAAGCATACAACACCTGAAATATTATTTAATATAGCCCCTAAACAAATGAAATTATTTTGTGAGTGGATGCAAGCAGCAAAATGAGCAAACGAAGAAGAGGTACTTTTAACATAGTGAACTTCTCAAGGCCATTCAATGGCTTCCATTGTTTCTCCTAAAACATGGATATAGAAGCACAAATCTGAATAGGTTTTGCCCTTTTCCTTAACCTTGAGTAACAGATGAATATCTGCCTTTGGCCCAGGTGGTTGGCAGGACAGGGATTTGCAACTTTTATATCTGTGACTGTGATAAACGTATTCATCAGTTATAGGTCAGCAACACCTTCCTGTGTGTTTTGGTTATAGGCAGTACATTTTGAAAGGCAGTTTCTCCAGCTTTGCTAGCAGATAACACTGGTGGTTGGTGTAGATGTATTCCAAAGAAACCAACTGTAGACAATCACATAAAAATACTACCTATGCAAAATAACTAAATGCACGCATACAAAAATACATAATTAACATAGCTACCTAAACCACTAAACTAAACTGTAAATCTTGAATATATTTATTCTACTTGATCACACTAAAGAACTGTCTCCTATAAAGAGTATGCAAAAGTAAACTATGTATCATAAAGAAACGCACCTGCCACTGATGCTATACATATACACATACACTATACATGGTATAGTGGATACTCTAGTTTGCTATACTTACATCCATTTGCAGTGTTTAGTAATTCACAACAAAAATCTTATGCTTATTTCCGATAGTACTGTAGTGCGTATAAACTTCTTACAGATTCCTCTACCTTTTTACATTGAAATCTTCTCTACAGTCTCAGTAAGAGACAGGGACACATATGAATCATTAACCAGGAAACCAGTTAACTGGCTTGTTTGTCACATTCTGTCTTCTAGCCAGTATTAAATGGAAGTATCCATACATTTGGACATTAGGAAGGATTTCTTCACAGAAAGGGTGATTACACATTGGAATGGGCTGCCCAGGGAGGTGGTGGAGTCACCGGACCTGGAGGCGTTTGAGGAAAGACGTGATGTGACACTTAGTGCCATGGTCTAGTTGACAAGGTGGTGTTGGGTCATAGGTTGGACTCGATGGTCTCAGAGGTCTTTTCCAACGTAATTGATTTTGTGATTAATTCCGTGCTTTTGTGATTAATTTTTCAATTAATTTCAGGTGCTACTTACATTGAGAATGACCTGGTGGTCGTGTGTTACTAACACTACTCTCAAAGGAAGAGTGGAAGTTGTGTATAGTTTCTTGTAAAATCTGTCTCTCTCGACCCTGTAAAAGAAAAAAAAATAAAACAGTTCTTAAATTTCTGTTTAAAAAACAAATTTATGAAGAGTTCACAAAAAAATGTGTAAATACATGTTTCCATGCTAAATATACTATTTGAAATAACTAGAAATCCTTACCTCACAGATATATATAGAGAAAACCTCAAAGTCATCTTTTCCTGAAACTACCAGACAGCAATAGAAACATTTTCATTATTTTCTTTATCTCTTTATAGCACGGAGCATCATCCACCTCCCCTAATTTTTAGCCTCATCACTTGTTACTGTCGCTCTTAACCTGGGGAAATTATGTTTTGTTTATCCGAGCTTCCACTATCAGAGAGAGAATGGACCTCAAAACTGAAAAAGCAGCTGAGAAGTGTCAGCAGGCCTAATCAAAGTCATGTTCCAGTACCAAATCCCTCCGCTAAGAACACTGCTTACTATATAACATTCTTAGCAAATTTGTTTCTGTCATTAAAAAATTCAAAGGCAATGAAAGTGTAAGAAATTAGAGAAGGGCTATTTACCTAATCACAGAGGAATCAAAAACTGTTAGGCTAAACAAGGGACACCCTTCCTCTTACGCTATACTCTGCAGCTGGACTATCGCAGCCAGGAGGTTCTTTTTAGCATTGCTGAAATCAATATTTGGTAACTGCAATACTGCTCACGTTTACCAGTAGCTTCTTCACTGGACTAGGAAAGAGTGATTGAAAGACAACAGGGAGTACCACAAAGGAAAATATTTTTCACACTAATCAAATAAATTAAATACTTTGTTTGGAAAAAAATAATTTAGCTTTTCTAACTAACATCCGCAACTGAATTTCAAAATGTATGTTGAATTAACAATATAAACAAGCCTTGAAATAATTTACTAAGTACAGTACTTCAAAACACACCTTTCCTGCATTCAGTTCAGAAATAGCTGCCAGAATTTGCTGCCTTGATCCATCGGTTTTAATACCAAGCTCTTTCAGATCACCGTCAGTAAGTGTAAGGAAAGCTTCCATATCCACCTGCATATGAAGAAAAAAAAGAAGAAAAAAAGATAAGACAAATTTACCTATGAAAAGATTCATCACTGCAGGTCAAACATGGTTTGTTGGGTTTTTTTAACTGTATAGACTTACTGTAAATATTTTGCAAAGAAAAATTTTCAATGAATTACCAGCAGCAAATGGTACATATTTTAGCACACTGTTGTAAGGTTTTAAATCTGTAGTTAATCATTCAACTAATTATGATAGTACATAATTTAAAATATTAATGGATTTTAATTTTTTTTCAGACAAGCTCTATTAATATACACTCTCCACAAAAAATTCCTTTATCTACAGTAGCAGCTGGCTGAATAAGCCTAAGGTTTCTCTCTCTTCTTTTCTTCCCCCCTTCCCCCAAGTATTTTTGGAATTTCAGAATACTGTGTTTACTTTTACAGTGTATCCTGAGAAAAACCTATGTTTTGTTCATATATCAGTTTTTATTATAACACCACATCCATAAGGCTGTGATAAGAACAAACATCTAAAGCATTTCATATTGATATAAACTTCACACATAAAGCATACTAATTTCTACACAATGCTCCCTTGCCTATCATGCAGGGGAACAATAATAACCTATTGTTTTGTGATGCAGCTAAATAGTCTGTGTTTGTGGTGCTGAATTCTGAACTCTGCAGCAACGTCTATTTATTGTATGTCCATTCACTACTCTTTGCCTTGACTGAATAGACACACCATATTTGCTCACATCCGATACTGTCTTAAACATTGTAATGAATTAATTTTACTTATTTTCAGCAATATTTCTTTTCATTGCATCCCTCAGCAACTGTCACAGGCCTCACCTACAAGGATGCCTACGTTCCCCCAGTTTAATTCTCCTGTTGCTTATTCATGGTGGATAAAAAAGATAAAGCAGCCATCTCAGTGACTCATACCCTCCTGTTCTCCATCTGCAAATGAGGATCCAGCTGTGACTGCAGGGATGATACAGTATGTCCTATAAACTGCTTAGCCACATTGGATATAGACATATATAGAAAAGCCAGAGTGTAAAAACAGAGAGAAAAAGAAAAACCCTGAAGCACCTATTTATACAAAAATTGTAGGTTAAGCATAAAAAGCTCTGATATTTGCAGTATCCTGGAAAATGCCATGAATATTGCTTAGTCCATGTTTCAAGGTCATCTGCAACTGGAAATGGTTGTAGGACTTGAAATCTGAGATTCTGGATCACAATTCTGATGTAATGTGCGTCGCACCCCACTTTTGCTAAAACAGTAAAAAAAAAAAAACTTTTAAAAAAAAGACATACCTCTTGTTCCTCAAAAATAGGCTGATATTTCTCAAGAGATAATTTTTTAAGGATGCCAGTCAGCTCATCTGTAGTAACAGAAAAAAAGAAAACAACCCGCACATGGATCAGAAAAGATTTTAATGATCTCTGCATTATGAACTGCTGAAAATATATATTAAAACATACATTCCACATAGTCATATAAAGTCATTAAAAATCACCACATTTATTCTCCATCAGAAATTGAAATATTTGCTTACTCTGTTCTCACCTACTTCCGTATACTGTAACTCTGTCTAGCCTCACCTTGCTAGGATAAAATCTTTCCACTGTATTGCCCTTTCTTCCTCATTAGAAAGGGTCTTACAAAACCAAACCACTAAGGGCAATTTAGGCAGTTCAATCCCTAAAACGCAGGGGCTTGGCCCCAGATGGCCGATTATGCAGGTTATTCAGCAAAACTCCTCAAGCAGACAAGGAACTGAACAGCATGTTTCTACATCATCATCCAGGAAGGCAAACTGCAGAGCAAACAACTACCCAGCTGCTCATTCAGAACCTCAATACAACACACATCTGTCTGAACCTCTTCTCCTTAAATGCCTGACATCCAGGCAACCTTGAAGTCCAGGTAAGATGAAAACTGGTCCGAATTTAAGTTTTATAAGCTTAACTTCCAAGGCTAAGAGCACTGAATATTGGCTTTCCTCTCAAAGTCTAAGGAAATTAAAATTTGGAGGACCTGACAGTGACCCTTCCCACATATTTAAAACGTGTTAAAAAGCATAAGTGCACTTTTAGAATAACCTAACATTAGCTCTCTTAATTACATGTTACCTCTCTCAACTCAGGTTTTCTTTTTATTGCTTTGATGTCACAAGTGACTAATTATCTTTGTTTTCCCAGAAGTACCAAAGCGGTCAGTTAAACTAAGAAGTCGGAGTCAAAATTAAGAACATGAATGATTTACATTATACAACAAAACTATATTTAAATTCACCATATAAACTCACTTTCACTTTAAAAGACACCAGTAGTCCATTCCCAAATGTACTTTGGTTTTATTTATTTCACTTCTTTGTCTTTTGACTGTCACTTTTCTTTCATCATCAGTAGAAACATGAAAGAGAATCTCTCTCTCCAAGCTTTTCAAAAGACATCAAGTATCTTGAGATAGACACACTTCCGTGTACTATTCGGAAAGACTCCTTCTTTACATAGAGGAGTCCACAAAAATCTAAAGAGAAAAATTCTAGTTGAGTCTTATTTTCTGCTAGGGTTTTGGGGTTTTTTTTACCTCAAGTTCAATTAACTTGGTATGCTTAACATGATTTGCAAAAGCAGGCATGGTCTCAGGCTAAAAGCTTTAGTACCCTAAGGTTAATCAATAAGAAAAGGTAACCAGTTTTAAAATGTCACACTGTTTGATGAAAAATACCACCTTACAGAAAGAAAACTTCTTTCATTAGAAGACCTTAGATATATTATTGATTTTAGATATTTTATTATTAATTTTAGATACAGTAGGTTGTTAGTTAGGCTTCTCATTTTTCATCACATTGGTGGGCTTAAACTATGGGCTGTGATATGGGAAGAAAAACAGTATCTCTGAGCTCAGAGTCTTGTTGCCATAAACAACTATAACGTCAACACCTTTCATGCACAGAGAATGCTTTCTGCAGTAGGAGCTTCAAGTTTTCTCTTCATCTTCCCCTCTTCCAGTTCCTGTATTATTACACCAAGTTTGAACAAACTCCCAAACCTCTCAGTTTTACAACTCTTGCATAACATGTTGTTTCTCCTTTGCTTTATCATTCTCATTTGCTCTACTCTTATCTTGTCTCCTTACCTACATCCCTGGAGAAAGCAAAGGTGCTTGGAGCTCTTACTGCTTCTGCCACATTGCTCCCATTTAGCCCCTCCTTTCATACTACTCTGTAGTAGTAAGGTAAGATTACCTTTCTCCAAGTTTTCAGAGCCTCCTTTTACTCTCACATGGTTTCGTCTTTCATGATTCTCTACATCACTGGTTCTCAGAATAGAGACAAGCTGTTGATGGTCCACCGAGTGGTTGCCTAAAGAGAAACCAAGCACACCTTTGAACCCTGCTGCCTACTGTTCCTTCACAGTAATATTCAATGCAAATCAATTTATCTAATTAATTTGACTTGAAAGAAAAGCAAAGTTAACATTGCAGGCCTTCTGTACTTACTCTTCTGATTCCTATTTGGCATATAAGCATTTGTACTGTTGCTACTGAATCAGTAAGAGAAGCCCTTGAATTAAAGGACCACTTAACTACAAAAGCTTACAAGCATAATGAACCCAGAGCTACTCAGGCTTCTGACAACATTTCCTCTGCTACACAGAGAACTCACTGTATCATGGCATTAGTGGTGCAGTCACAAAGCCCAGCTTCACTGGGTGAGATAAGAACAGCTGATAGCTTGGGGAATTCCCTTTGTTATCCAACAGTGAGTTCTCTTTCTTTTATATATTTCTAAATTGACAACTCTTATGGTATCAAGCCATCATTATAAACTTACTAAATGTGAAACAATTTTCTCCAGCGGTCAGTACAATATGTCACAGTTAAGCCATGAGACGAGGACAGAAAGAGGGTCAAGTATCACCTCTCTTTAGTGTCAAATGGAAGTAGAGTGTCCATGGATAAAGTTAGCATAAATGAAAACAAACCAAAATCAATACAGACAACATCAGAAAAAACAAAAATAGTAGAAAGTGCCTCTCGCAGAAACCAGATAAGGTGCCTCCATTTCTTATTTAAAAGATTCTGAGTCCAGTTATTTTTTTTCACATTTTTGAGATATTTACAGAACAAAACGAAGTTATTGATATCCTGTTTCCAATGTAGTAACATGACTTTATTTTAAAAAGTATTGTAATGTAGACCTAAAAGTTTAACTTAAAAGGTAGTAATCTTACTGGAAAAGTAATAACATTATTATTCTTTCATATGATCTTAGGTTAAAAATAGGTTGAAATACAGCTATTTTTGCCATTTAGAAAAATAAATGCACTACAGCTCTTAAAAATCAACTGCATGTAGCTATGACTTGCTATTACTCAAAAATGTATTTCTGTAGTGATGTGCTTTACTGCATTTACTCAAAAAAAATAATTTCTAACGTGGAGAAAGTGCATTTTCTACCCCCAGCAAAGAGTGGAAAACAGGATTTAAGCCATCAAAGGGCAAAGGAAGAAGGCCACGTAAGAGCAGCCTACCTACATGCAAGCTTTGAGATGGTACCAGTCTCCCTCTAAATGGAAGGGATCACAGGTTTTGGGAGAGAAAAAGGCAGTTACTGCAGAATGCCAAACTCACTGTAAGAAACACCATAATACATTTTCTAGAAAGAAAAAAGCTCTCATTGTCATGCAGATACACACTAATTCAGTACAGTTACAGCTTTAAACAGTCAGTGCTCTTGACTAATGAATCTCCTATAACTACAGTGACCTACTCACCATCTTCTGTAATAGTACCACTGCTGGAACCGTTGCTTTTGGCCTGTCTGTGAGAAGAAGAGAGAGAAGACTCTGCGTTTTGAACCTTAGGAGATGGGGAAGGTGATGGGGAAGGTGTGAGAGTTGGTGATGTGCTTTTAGACGTAGATGAAGTCCCAGATGGAGGTCTTTTGTTCATCTCCAGTTTTTGCTGTAGTTAATGATACAATAATTTCAGTTAAAAAAAACCAAGAATGTTTACCTATATATGATGCTTCATTATTACTTAAGTTGCATATCATTTCTGCAGAGCATGTAGTCATAACTAGAAGTTTCTGCTTGATCCATATTGAAATAATTGGAGCAATACTGATTTATCCCAGATGAAAGTCTGTCTCCTCAAATTCATCAAGAAAAATACATTTAATAAGGCTGTAATTTTATAATAAGAAAATTATTTCTTGTAAAGCAATACCGCACACAAGCACTACAATTATTCTTTTCCTAAAAGGACTGTCCTGGTTTGAGTCCATCTGGCAACTATGTGGCTTGCTCACCTCCCCCCCTCCAGTGGAATGGAGAGGAGAATCAAAACTAAAAATTGTAGGTTGAGATAAGAACAGTTTAATAATAGAAACAAAGTAAATTACTTTGACTCTGATAACAGGCATATCAGATGCTCATTTAAAGTAGCATTTCATGCTGGATTAACTAGAAATATGTGGTAAGCATAAACTAAGTTTTGGGCGCATTTAACAACTTGCTGCACTGGAATGAAAGTTTCCAGTCAACTCTTAAACTCGTTATTACCTAACACAAGTCAAATGATTCAAAATTATTAAGTATTTTGTACATGTTTAACACATTTGGAGGCATGGAAAACAGGAAAATACATGAGTTAAAATGAGGAATAAGAATATATATGTACGTATATTGGTCTTTTCCAAAACAAGTCCCTGTACCTCATCTCCTAAATTCCTCAATCTGTATATCACTTCATGTTCTGCATTCACATTGAGCCTTTGAAGGGAAACTAGCTATATCACTTCAGAGTAAAGTCCAGGAATAACTAACACAAAACACTGGATCTGGGCCATAGAAAGAAATAATGAGAAACCAAACTAACAGTGCAGATCTACCCTAAGATCAAGTATTACATTTACTGGTTTTTAAAACAGAATTAAATTAATAATAAAGTAAAATCACATTTTATTATTAGGTTTGATCTTCTGTAGGCTTGTAATTAAAAGTAAGGTTTGTGGAGCCGAAAAGTTTCCACTACTGTAACAGGTGTTCATTCACTTTAGGCTGTGCAATGTCATGTATCAGCCATCCATGACCGAGACACGACCTATTATAATTAGCCACTTTGGAAGTACAAAAATTTACATTTCTCCATACCTTTACATGTCCATTGCCAACAATCTGAGCACACTGCAAATCAGACAGAGTGGATGAAGTAGTTGACTGGACTGGACTGTGCTGTTGGCTGGGTTTCTGTTCAGGAAAGCCTGCTGCTTTTCTTCTTTGGGCCGCAATCTGAGACAAAACATTATCTGCACTGCCACCTGAAACAAAAAATATAATAAAACCAGTCAAGGAAATCAGAATTTTGAAATACTTGTTAACTTTCAATTCTCCCATCTCTACCACAACTCACTTTTGTTTAAAAACTGACTGGATGAAGCAAGAGAGAATTGTAAGGTTCAGATCTATCCAGCAGGTTTCAGAAAAAGGAATAAAAAATCAAGTGCAGAAGAGAGAAGCCAGCCCTGTCTATATACACACAGAGTTGACTTTCATCCTCTTGGATATGGGTTTTATGAGACACTTCATCATATTGTCTTCAACAGCTGCCAGGTACAGTGCTTGCAGCTTTGTTTTTGATTGAAAACTGATTTTTAATTAAACAACAAGTAAGCAACGTGGGTAAGAATCAGTGCTATGAAATGTATGTTGCAATGAACCAGCATCCACCTGATCCACCATGGGTGGACCCGATAAAATCTGCATGTTTTTCTGAGACAGAGGCTGGCCAATGAGACTTCTGTTACAGATGTGAGGCTTTTCTTCCCTTATGTTCAAAGTCCAGTCCTGGTTCAACAAAATTTATAGAAGTTTTGCTCTACAGCAGTAGGAGCTCTCAGAAAAGGTTTGTCTTCTACCATCATCACAAACACTAATTTTTTTAGCTGAACCAGATACAAATTACTTTCTTATTAAAAATGGTACCTGATCTGTTATGCAGTTCTCCTCCATGCCTGTTAATTCCTGCAATGTTATTGGATCCACCAGAAGAATGAGGAGAATGACTGAAGTTGTTGGAATTTGAAGGAGATGCTGGTCTTCTTGCAAATGTTGGTAATTTGACTGGTCTAGTACCTTTGCTAACAGATGTCTGGAAAACAAAATGAATAATTTTCTTTCTCGACTGAGCACAATAAAGATCAACTGCTATTTTATTTATTCCACATTCTGAAACTTCCACTGAAGAACAAAAGGGATATCAGAAATAATCTTATTTTACATATACAAATATACTGAACATATTCTATACTTACATAAATATATATACATTTAACATATATACTCAATGAAAGAAATTATACCATATAAAACCATTAATTCTTCTTAACCTTTGGCCAGCACAAAATGAGCATCCACGATGCCCCTGAGATGGGCTGTACAGAATATTATGAGCAGTGGGGAGGAAAAAAAATGGTCACATGTGAAACTGCTTTCCTGAGAAATCCTAGTTTTGTCTCTCCAATCTTACAAAACAGCTACCATCTATTTCTCATCCATCATATTTCTGTTTCTTACAAACTAAGCTGCAAGAAGTGAGATAAACTTCATCTCCACTAGTTGCATTTTTGTATTTTGTTCAATCTAAATTCATCATTTGACCGACTTTCACTAACTGAGGCACTACTGATCTAGCTATATGCTAGCCAAATCCTCCTCAGCCACATCCTCCTTCATTTCTTTTGCTTTTACACCACTGGCCACTGCCAGACATCTGACAAACAGCTTTTGCAGCTTAGCTTTTTCATGTTTCTTATCCTGTTGCTCAAATCACTTCTTCCAACTCTGACTTACTATGTATCTCTCCTCCCTATTCCCTTAGCAAAACACTTCTTGCCTCACAGAAGTACTGATGACTAGTCCTCCCCTGCTTCTCCTGCTCCTCTCTTTATAAAGTGAGCTAATTATCCACTTATGTTACTACAATCATCTTTTTCAGGATGACAGACGTTTACCTTCCTGTTATGTCAATTCCCTTCTAAGACTCCACCTTATTCCACCTAAATCGCCCCTACTGATATTAAGCTAACTTCCACTTAAAAAAAGGAAAACAGAAAAAAATTCCTCCTAAAATGTCTTCAGTGTCCTGTTTCTAGAACTGACATGAAACAGTTCTGGACTAGTAAAATAAACTCTTCTCTCCACTTGACTATTACAGTCCACATTTAGGGGAGTAAGGATTTCTCTTTTTTCTCCTACTATGAAAGCAAAGGTTGTTGAGGTTGTTTTGTTTCTTGTCTCAAGACAAACCAGCTATTTTTCTTTTGGTTTGTGTTTTCACTAAAAACACTGTAGAATCAGGCAAGCTCCTTCTATAAAAACCAGAAGCAATTCAGACTTTTTCCCTTCACAATTTAAGGCTGTATGCCTTCAAGCCTACTTGATCATAGCTTGCTACAATTTTAACTACTGCTAATCTTTCAGAATCTTATGTCTGTATATTTGTCTTACTGATATGACTTACCTCCTGCTCAGGTCCTAAAAATTGATCAATTCTTATTCTTTTTTTCTGTCCCTGATCTTCTTCCAAATCAGAGCAGTTTTGACCACACTCCAGTGCCTGTACCTACTGTGGCTACTAAAAGACATGGAACATGGGTGGAACCAGCAGCCAACTTTAGCAGCCTGCAGCAAATTTGTTATGGTTCTATTTTATTCTGAATAACAGCAAGAAAAAAAAAAGCCATCTCATTTCATACAAAACTTTTGTTCCATTACGTTCTTTCCTTGGAGATGTGCATTCTTCTTAAACAGCATTGCTTAAAAGGACAAGCCATTACTGAGACAGTGGGTTAAAAGTAATTTCTAATCAGAAACCGTGTGTCTCACCAGTCAGCATGGCCTGGACATAACACAGTATTTTCGTACACATTTAGTTTGCTTACTATATCAGAGTTTCCGCTGCTGTTAAAATCATGCTTGATTGCTCTCTGTGGCCAGGCAGTTCTCATCTGTTCAGCTTTTCCATCTTTGCTGAGTCGTGTTCGGTCAGAATTCCAGAGCTCAAAGCTCGAGGGGGGTAAGAAAGGTGGTATCACTGCCTTCAGCTTATCGCTTGGCAGCCTGGTAAATGGGGCACTACTTCTCAGCTGAGAGAGAGAAAAACAAAGAAGGGGGGAGGGGGAAGAGTCACTTCTTAAGAGATTACTAGGAGTTGGTGACGTACTTTCAAAATTTTAAGTTAAGCAAAAAGATGAAGACATGCATTTTTAAACAGAATAAAATGGAAATGAGACATGAGTAGTATTTTTGAAAAAGCACAACATGTAATAAATAACAGAGAATCCAACAAACATCGTTGCACCCCTCAATATTATGCTTATTCATTTGATAAAATGAATATAGTTCATTAAGTGGCAGAAACTTCTCTTCCTTCACTGGGCTAAATATTTTTCAAATTGACTTTAACAAGAATGTTAAAAATTAATTTTCAAAGAAATAACAATGTAGTCTTCTCTGTATTTCCAGATAGAACAACTGCAAACAGTGAACAATTGCCTGTTCCTGCTGTACATGTTCTCCAGAAAGAGATTAAAAATGACACAACTGATTTGGCTCCCTAGAGTTCTGTCCATCAGTTACATCTGTTCAGTTACATCAAAAGATACTCCAACTTCTTACAAAAGAACATAAAGAATAACCAGTCAAATTTAATGATATCACTAGGGAGTAAGCTGTAGGGAAATTTAAAGCTACAGCATAACAAAACAAGAAACAGAATAACACAAATGAACATGCTGAACTAAATATTTTGTGGTTGCCTCTACTAGTAATTTCACACTTCCATTGCACCATGTGCCATCCATGTGTTCCCCACATCACACATCTTGTCAGCAACCAATCATCTGTTCCATCTACTTTACTAATTCACTGCTGATCAAACAAACGTATGGGTAACTCTTGAAAAAAGTCAGCACAGCTTCCATATCATACCACTGGTAGTACTTCCTAGTCTAAGAACTACTGATGTATCAAAGCCTGACAGTTCTTGTCTAATGACTATAAACAAATGATGAGATCTCCTCCTGAAGGCATCTTGGACAGGAGGTAAAAACCTTCAAAAATTATGGGAGCTGCACAACCTTCTGAATGAGGCTGACACACCAAGAACGCTGCAACATACCATGGTTGTCAATAATTCATCATCCTTTCCTCCTTTCGTAGTGTTTGCGCCTGAAAAATACATAAATGATGTTTTATTGTTTACATGTTCCTACTTTTGTCCCCAAGGATAGTGTATTGTTCTCAAACAGTCAACAGCTTTATCTTCAGTAAGCACACAGAACAAAGATTTCCAGTGACACTGTCATGCACCTAAATTAAAGTTATGCCAATAGTCTTACTTTGCATCACAAACTGGGGGCGAGGGGGTTTCATGGAGACCTGTACAATTTCAGTAGATGTGCTTTACAATTTGGGCTTTTTCACTTTCTTCTCAGAATTCTTTCTTTATTTCTTCAAATAAATTGGTTTTCACTATAAAAATCAGTTTATCAAAGATACTAACACTTCTCAGTGACCTGTCTCTATTCTCCAAATTAATGGTGCTTGCTAAAGAACAGTAACATGGTTATATCAGCGTTTTCCTGCTTAAATGATGCTGCACTCAGTGTTCAGCATGATCAACAGTCAGGAATGCGAACATCTCTTTCTACATACTACAAATACATTACATGTCTTTTCATTTATACTAAGCTAAATAAGAACTAATTCAATAAATTAGAAATACTATCATCTTGAGTACCCCAGGAGAGCTCACTTCCCATAAGACAATTCTGCCTTTACCACTAGCTTTGTTATTTGTGATCCGAGCTGTAGCAGCATCAAGGTTTCCAGAGGCACCCGTATCACTCTGTGAAACTGCTTTTATAGTGGAATTTAATGATGGTTCAGGCTCATCCGGAAAAGGCACAAACGGATTGGAAGGAAATCCATGGCGCAGTGTCTGAGTCAACTTCAGCTTGCGGAATCGGTTGGACATCCTGCTCCACCAAGACTAGATTGATAAGAAGACACAACAATTTAGTTCCAACTAAAAGAAAAAAAAAAGGAAAAGAGATGTACAATTAAGTGATCCTTACAGCAGGGATAAAATAATTCTGTCAAGGAGTTTTTGAGATAAACTAAAAAGCAACATTTAAGTGGTTTGCAATTATCAACAGAATCCTTCACCGTCATTTGTATAATCTCTTCCCTTATTTGTCCCCTGGCAAATGCATTACAATGTTTTTCCACACTATCCTGAAAGCCAAGGTAGATAGAAACATTAGGGCAATTTAAATAGGGAATATTTACAGCTACATAGCAAATATTTATTCTTTCCATTAGCTTCCAATTTCACCATAGATTCTTATACTCTTTGGCATCAATGAACGGACATGTCTATTTTCTGCTTTTTAGAAGTGTGCATAGAAGCTTATCTGATCTGAATGAAACTTCCCCTTAAGATTTTCAAAATCACTGGCAAACTGGAAGAGTTCTGATAGTATTCCTGTCAAACTAAAGTCCCATAATCCATACAGTGCTGTTACACAAACAATTTAAACTCTATCAGGCTGGAAACACTATAAACTGAAAAAGAGCAAGGCAAGGAAATATCAGCTGTGAAAACAACACAAACCCTAGGACTACTGTACCTACAACCTCCATCCATACAGGCATCACATATACAGAAATTGTAACATAAAAGGACTATCTTTGCTCAAAGTAAAATTCATTCGAGTATTCACAGACTTGCACATTTTTACAGGCAGACAATGCAAGATGCTTCAACTCTTTAGCAGGACATTTCTCTAGACCATGAAAGACATATGCAATCTGCATTAAAAATTACGTGGTTTGTAGATAAATCAGTCAGATTATAAGTATCTTCTGATTATTTCTTAGTAAAGTTTCTTCTTCCCTTTCTGGAACCCTTTTTGTAAAAAAGTAATATAAAAGTGACAACACTTCATCAAGGCAGCTTTATGTGATAGCCAATCTAGATAACAACACTTCCCTACTTTACTCTCTGTTCTTAACCACCCCTTCTCACAATATGTATTCTGCTCTCTTCTTTAGTATTTTTCAGCTGCTCACTGATACATGTCTTCTCAATTGTCATATAGTAGAAGTAAGGTAAAATATAAACTTATCCCCTGCATATTAATCCCTGTAGCAGATCATTAAAAAGATTTTAGATCTGCACAGAGCATTAGTCATGGATAGAGTTCTCAGACCTCCGTGTCTCTTTGGAGTCATAACTGGTAAAGACTTATGTTAATTTCAGCAACAAAGATCTGATGAAAAAAGGCAAGAGAGACAAACAGCTCTGAGAAAGCAATAAAATCTACACAGTTCAGCATTTATTCACCTTCCAAAAGGAATTGAAAGGGCAAAAAAAATCCATCTAGGTTTAACCTAGAGTACAACGAATTTACGATCGAGAGTGCTTGCACGACGTGGTTTGGTCTCGTTCACTGAAGCTGGCTTGCTTGTGTAAGAAAGATCACTTCTGATTGCTCGTCATCTCTGTTACTCCTCCTCACAGTGCTTCTGTTTCTTTAACATGTGCTTGCACCACAAACTAATCCCAAATACAGTAAGTACAGCCACCATGTTACCAGAAAAAAAACTGCTGATCTCTGGCAAGAAAGGAACTATACTGGAGAAGTTCATCTTGTGCTCTGGTGTTCACAGTATGATGGGCTGAGCTCCAGAGTTTTTAGTCCGCTGTTGCAGGAGGTCATGGCCTCTCCATATGCCCCTACCACATCACACAGGTACAGAGGTTGGAGTAAAGGGCTTTGAATTACATTGAAGCAGTCAAGTAACAAAAATGCATTTAGGGCTAAAAACATGTGTCCATCAAGAGGGTGAAATCTAGCAGCAGTGGGAGAAGGGAACAGTATCAAAGAACTAGAAAAATTATGTTGCCCCTTGAGAAATACCTTAGACGTTTGTAACAATACTAGGAATGAAAGCATAAGGGGTAGAACTGGAAATCTCTGCCCTAAAACAACCTTAATCTAAAATAGAAACTGAATGTGATAATTCATACTGTTCTAATACTGACATTGAGAGTATAACTTGCCAAAAACAAGCAGGAAGAAAAAAGAGGAAATAAAATTTTTGCATATGGAAAAGGCACAACTTTGTTTTCAAGGCTATGAAATGGTGACAAACAAAGCAGTTAGCAGTTCTTGTGTGAAAGAGGTAAATAATGCCATCATGAATATCCACTGCATAATCAGTAGGTAAAGGAACAAGGGCCTTTATTATGCATAAATAACAAATAAAAGAAATGCATAACAAAATAAAAAGTCTACTAGTTAACAACAAAAGTGATCAAAGAGGAGAGACTGAAAAGGGTTTCTTTTTTTAAACTCCAAAACCAGCCTACCTGTGATCAGATATTTTAGTAAGAATATCATTAACAGGAGAAGTAGGAATATATGTCCATTGCTTAATAGAGCAGGAGTATTTAAATGAGCTTGCACAAATTAAAACCAGACAAGATTGATTAAAATTACCCTAGAGTAACTATAGACAACATGATCTCTGAACAAATATTGCTTATCTTCAATAAAAGAGGATGGAGGAAGTTACAGAAATCAGGCAAAAGGCAAAGGCACAATCACCCAAAGAGGAAAAACTGAAGATTTACTGATCAAAATGCTTAATCTGAAAGGATATAATTGACAAAACTTCAAACATCATCACAGCTCATATGACATAGCATATGACATGGGTCTGTCAAGAATAAATCCATCAAATTAATATCTCTTTTTGACAGACTAACCAGTAAGGTGGGCAGAAGGGAGGAAAAGCTGTATTGTAGCTTGACTTTAATAAAATTTTTTTTGCTATTTCATGTAACATTTATTGAATGACTGAAAAAAAATTCACAGGCTGGTCAAAAGAGAGATGAGTGTTACGACACCGCCCTCCACTCAGACAATTTGAAAATACCATTTTTACCCTGTTTCAACATTTGTAGGGAGAGTAGGATATGTAACATACTCATGGTCAGACAGGCTGGTTAATAAAGCATTAAGCAGTGATGGAAGAAGGGACTATATTGGCTTCCAGGTTATATATATCAGAGAACTACAGAGAATATAATTTCTGCTGAAAAAATGCTTGATTAAGACTTGTAAACACTGTAATATTTTGTAGTTTTGAGACCAAATACTTAAATATTCCCAAATATGAAATTTGTGTCAGTATTCATTTGTATGTCTTTGACAATTTTTTTTATATTTCACTTCATAATCTTTTATGACCTTAATTCAAACCTTTGTGTCATAACACTGCAAGAGCTGGAATCCAATCTATTGTTGATTTGTATTCCATAAAGCAAAAAGCTATTCTGACAATTTCCCACCTAAGTAACTGCATTCTTATATAGACCGTTTAAATTGATACTGATATTGCATCATATTGAATAATAGCGTAATCATATCACGGACTCAAGGAAATTCTGAGGTACATCATAATTAAAAACTATTCAAGTAAATGGACAACAGCAACAATAAAAAAATTAACTAACACTTTTCCCTTCTCTTTTGCAAACAGACAATGTAAGTCCCAATACTTTTGTTTAAATGGCACACATTTATTCTAACTCTATGTTGTTTCCTACTGGACCACCATCAATTTGGAGCTAAGGATACGGCATGGCAGAGGACATGTAAGCCTGAATTGCACACTCTTCTACTACTCTTCATATTAAAATCTCTGCTATGATTTTCTTAATTTTCAATGCCAATATCCTGCTTCCATTTCTGGGTATAAAGGCTATCCTCTGTACAGATTTAAAATTAAGATCCTAATGGAAACTGAGTTTCAAACTTATGAACATGGTACCTTCCACTTAATTATGAGATCTATTTCTAAGCACTGAAATGCTTCAGTGCAAACTTCCTTAAGTCTTCCTATTGCATTGCCATCTGAGAAAAAGAATGCTCAACACATGCTACTCTATAAAACCAGGAAGCACTGTCAACAAGAAACTCAGAAACACACACATACTCCCCCAAAACTCAGTTACGTATTAGATCCAAAATACTTCTTAGCAATTACTTTCTCTGCTTACACATTGCAGGAATATGTAATTTAATTTAATTTGAGTTATTTATCAAGAGTGAACATATTTACCTTTAGACCTCCTTTGTCATCTGGCAACATTGGGACATTTAAGGATTGCCTACTTCTGGAACTAGGCAAAGATGATCTGTTGTTCAGTTTATTCTTGTCTTTGTCTACTTGCATGCATGCTGATGCCAGTAGTCTTACAAGCTCTGTATCTAAAAGAAAGCAAATTAAGACAATGTTTGGTCTGGTTTACTTTCCTAAATTACGACTCTGACACTTTTCCCTATAAATCCCACATAAGTAGTAATGGATCTACCATTACCCCAAACCTTCTTTCTTGACCTACATTTCCCAAACCCTCTCCCCACACAGTGGGATGCAGTCTTATCATCACCTCTCTAAAGGTATTTATCAATATAAATAAGCAAGCTATTCAGTCAGAATCAGTCACGCGTGATCAAGTGAACTGCCTCCTCACACTTTGTACAAGTTAAGAACAACACTGTGATGCTCCCTTTTCTCACCTGACACAGAAGAGAGTAGAGAAAAATGAATATTCTTTCTTCAAGTGCAGGTTGCAGAAAAGAAGCTCGAAATTAAATCCCAAAGAGAAAGAAGATGTTCAGCCTGGACAATGAAGGGACTGAAAAGAAACGGTAAGAAAAAAGGTGGACAAAAAAAGAAATAAAAGTAAGAGGAAGAAAAAAGAACAAGCATGACATGAGGACAGGAAAGCAAAAAAAATATTCTGTAAATCTGTGTTTTATATGGCACTCAGGTAGGATTTTCAGAAGAACAGACAGAACTGATCAAGAGAGAAAGGTTACAAGAGAAACTATTCTGTCACAGAAGTTAGTTCTAAAACAATTCACTGTATTTATTTCCTAAAATTTCATACTATTAATGATCTATTTTTGAAAAGGAAAGGAACCTGCTAGTGACCAAAACCATTATAACGTGTAAATACAGAGAAAAGAAACATTAATTTCATTAGCAGTAGTGGGTTTTGGCTTCAGATAAATCAATTTAGGTACCAAGCAAGGCTAACAATAACAAATTATGTAGGCTAAACAAACTAAAACAAAAACTATATGTATTTCATTGAAGTCTTCCCAAAGCATGCTGCTTTTTCTAGAGCACTCCCTTTAAAAAAGTGAAAAACAACCTGAACCCTGAAGTGTGATTTATTCTCAGCCTTTACAAAATTAGCGGGAGGTTCAGCCAGGAGTTCCCTACTTTTGTTCCGACTACGGTCTTTTTGTCCTGTCCCTTTGTTGCTCTTTACCAAGGGGAAATTTCTAGCTTCAGTTCCATGGTGCTAATGACACCGTAGAACACCTGTGCCCCCAGAAATGCCATTGAACTGGCTCTCGTGAAACAAACACCACATTTTTTTGAGCATCTTCAAAAACGAAGTCAAGAGGAATGCATAAAATCTGTTATCCCATAAACGTATACGCTCATCTAATTAACTCAAACCCCACCATTTTCAGGCAATGTTCTTGCTTGGTCCAGTCCAGCCTGGACATCAGAGGATAGTTCCTAGCAACTTTCATGTATTTTGTAGATTGGAAAGGAAGTTTGTTTGTTTATGTTGTTCATTTCCCCAGAGCTTTTTGAAATAGCATACCTGGATCATTCAGCAGCATTATGAGGTCAAAAGCCGTGTATCCATTTTTTGCACGAAGATTGACGTCCGCTCCTTGATTTAACAAATACTTTACAACGTTTTTGTTTCTTTATGGGAATAAAAAAAAGGTGCTGATCACTTAAAAAAATAAATAAATAAAATAGAAACACTCAATACTCCATTTTCAACCTTTTATAACATTGCTCCTCAATTAGAGATGTTTTACCTTTCTAGTGTAAAATTTATTCACAAGCTCTTTAGAAGCTCCCATGATTCCCTTGTCAGTCACTGTTTTACTCACTACAAATCACATTAATCGACATACAGAAAGTCAGCCTTAAAAACCTAATTTGAATAGCCAGTTTCTTAAACTGATCCTTTGGAACTGACTGGAATTTGTTGCCAAATACCTTCCCAATGAAGGGCCATTAATGCCTAGGGCACAAAAGCAGATGAAAAGACAAAGGTCAGCTCAGTAGTCCTCATATGCCATCACTAGGACTTCAACTCAACCTCACATTCACAGCTTGCATATTAAGAAATTGCACACAGAAAAGCCAAATTGACTGAAGATAATTATAAACTTCAAACAGTACTTCACTTAATTACAGATATAAATTATATAATTAGAAAGCACATTATCACTTCCTTGAGGTGTTTAAAATGCAAAAACAATCAGCATTAAATGTCAACCAACACAAACACCTTCCAACAAAAGCTCCTAAAAGGCAGCTGCATAAAAGACACTCACCACCTCAGCTCCATTAGCCCCTCTCCCCTCTCATACACCTGAATAAATAAGCAGGACTTGCCTCCTGAGTTAAAAACAATACTTTAATTCTGCCTACAAAATAATTGAACAGACAACAAAGCTATGAAAAAATATATTTAATACAAAACTTCTCTTGAGCAGCAACTGACCTTGTATTAAAACAAACTCTGACATGCATAAACAACACAGAGCAAAAACATACTCAAGCAGCAACAGTGACTGCAAATTCTAACACTGAAGGCTGACAAACAGATCTCAGTATCTCCAGAACATCACTTATCATACACACAAAGTTTTCACTGCTGAACTCACTCCAGACAAAAATCAACCCAAAATGGAGGAGGACTGTTACTCCTCTAATAAAAATTCTGCTTATCCTAAGCACAGCTCCTCTGCATACTTCCCATTACTTCTCTTCCTTAAAACTGTATCATCCCTCCATCCTGCTTTCCAGTCCTGAACCTTGAGGGCACACAGAGATGCAATCCTTTAGCGCCCCAGCTCACAAAGAACTCCCTCCTTCAAGCCTGAGACCCTCGACAGCACTGATGTTCCTCAGGAAGGATTAGCTGAGGTTCTGTGGAGGTTAAAGATTTCCAAATGTTACAAAAATTTGCAACTGGTCCATGCCAAGAGAAAAGGCTAAAATGCAAAGTACAGAATTACAAGGCTAAGTATTTATTTATGCACATGAGGTGTTCCAGCCAAACTGGGGCACCCCAAATGTGGCTTTACACACAGGACTCTTCTACCCTTCAACTGTACACCAACACTCACACTCCCAATTGCTCATCACAGTAAAACTGTATTCAGACAGTGCCAAGTGTATAACAGAGATCATACGTGAAGTACCAGCCAGGCAAATTTCTGGGGTCTGACTCTTAAGCATCTACCTACATTTATAAAGGAGCTTTAGAGAAAATGACAGTTTGGTTGCATTTCTGAAAATTCCATGAAAACTAAAGGCTGAATAAGGAAACACAGCAATGGTTAAGGACTGGAAAATATGGCACATGGAAGGGTGATTGCCTTGAATTTTCACAGCTTGATGTGGCTTACAACCCTGGCAGGGTGATACTATCTTTCACAATGCTGAAAAACATCAAAGGATGGAAACTGAAATCTGCACCAAAGCTCCTGGAGCACTATGTTCTCAGCATTTATTTAGCAAGCTTCAAGTTCCCAAATGTTTCACTCATTCTGAAGTCCAAACATCATTCAGGTCTGAAAAGCTGAGGACAGTGCATAAGTCACGGAAAACTGAGGTCACAAGTCTCTCAATTTCTTGTAAGACCCCTCTGCTTCCACAGTCAGTATCAAAAAGGTTTTTTTCTATTGGGATGCAAGAAGAATTAAACTTCTTTACTGCTAGACCCAAAGACAGTACATATCTTACCCATGGTATGTGGCCTGCATCAGTGCTGTCCAGCCATGAACATTATCCTGTTTATCAACATCAGCATTTTTCTCAACAAGGAGCTGAACAAGGGGTAGCTGTCCAGTTACAGCTGCAATCATTAATGGAGATGCACCGTCAACATTGGTAATATTGACCTGACTCGGGTCTTCATCAACAATCTCTTTAACCAGCTGGAAGTTTCCTGCAAAACAGGCATAAAACATAATCTACATGGGCAACAGAGAACTGCTCAGCCACTGAATTGTTAGGTATTTTGATTTGCTGACACTGATCTACATCTAGTGGAATTAAAACAGAAACAAATAAAGTACTAGAGCAACTGCAACACTAAAGCTAAAAATCTGTACTGATCTTTGGTCTTTTAGTTAATTAGTACATCTTTTCAGCCTACATAAAATTGTGGCATAAGCACGAGACACTGTATTTTCCTGATTTTCCCTACCTGTACACTCACAGTGCAACTCCATTAGAAGAATTATTTTCTGAAATGAACGACTAAGCTAGGAAGCTGTACAAACTGCAAACCACATGTGAAGACACAAATAGGGAATATTTCTATTAAATTGTGCTAAGATGATGTTGTGCAAGGAAAACTGATGACTCCAAGATCCCTGCTCCATTTCCACAGGCTGAAATCACAGAAAGCAACAATTTTATAATCAGACTAAGTGGGTAGAAAGGTACTCTAAAAGGTGCCGGAGGAGGCCATGCCTTGCCTTAAGCAGGTAGAAAAATGCTTTGTGTCACACTAACCCATAAGTTCCTCTAACAGAAGTAGTTCACTGATTCAAAAAACCTCTACTGATAGAATTCCACAACCTTCCAGGGAGTTAATCTACTCCAGCGCTCAACTTCCTTATATTCAGAATGATTTTTTAAAGTTCTGCCTCCAGTATTTGAACTAAATCTCCAATGCAAAACATCCCTACTCCCTGCTCAAGAGTAATGCATCATTTGACATTTTTCTAGTTTTTTCAAAGTGAAATTAATGTTCCAGTTTCCAAGTATAAGGGTTGCTAGTCACTTGAGTTCCTGTCTAGATTAGGAAAAGCAGTACAAAATACGTTACTGAATATATTTCAACAAGGTTGTGGTTTTTTCTAAACTTAAATTAGGAGCAAGCACTTTTAAAAAATATATGAAGTAGTCAGGGTTATCTTAGAAAGCTTAAGCTCACCCACCTCCATTATTTTTTTGATGATATATGGCAAGTAAAAGCAGGGAAGTTAAAGGAAAGAAAAGATCTCTCTGACTGTACGTACCACCATAGGAACAGAGGCAGGAATAAGCAAATCATAACTGTCATGCAAATGAAAAAAGTCTCACCTTTTGTAGTGGGTTTCTGTGGCTGGGTTTTGGTAGCAGGGGGGGCTACAGAGGTGGCTTCTGTTAGAAGCTGCTAGAAGCTTCCCCTGTCTGGCGGAGCCAATGCCAGCCGGCTCCAGGATGGACTTCCTGCCACTGGCCAAGGCCGAGCCAATCAGGAGTAATGTCTTTGTGATAACATTTAAGAACAGAAAGCTATTGCACAGAGAGAATTCCAGCCAGGGAAGAGCGGAGTGAGAACATAGGAACAACAATTTAGACACCAAGGTCAGTGTAGAAGGAGGGACAGGAGGTGCTCCAGGCACTGGAGCTGAGGCCCCTGCAGCCCGTGGTGAAGACCATGATGGAGGCTGTCCCTCTGCAGCCCATGGAGGACCATCGGGGTGCAGAGACCGTGAGGAGGTTGTGACCTCGTGGGAGGCCTAAGATGGAGCAGGGTCCTGCCGGAGACCTCCAGCCTGTGGAGAAAGGAGCCCACACTGGAGCAGGCTTTTCCCAGGTAGGACTTGTGGCCCCTGTGGGGGACCCACATCGGTACAACTCATTTGTGAAGGACTGCACCCCATGGAAAAGTGATCCACAGGACAGCAGTTTGTGAAAACTGTTGCCTGTGGGATGGACTCATGCCAGAAAGGTCCACCAAGGACTGTCTCCCGTGGGAGGGACCCCATGGGAGCAGGGAAGGACTCCTGTCCCTGAGCAGCATCAGAAACAACAACTGACCATAACTCCCTTTCCCTGCTTCCCTGCACCGCTGGGAGGGAGGAGAGAGAACATGAAAAGAAGGAGGTGTTGGAGGTGAGGAAATTAAGATTGAAAGTAGAGCACCGAATTCAGCATTCTTTCTGACTTTATATAAGCAGATACAGACTTTTGTGAACTATTGAAGAATATGCATTTTGGATTTTATGTTGTGTTTCAATGTTGTGTTTTGTTTTATGTTGTGTTTGTTGTACAATTCCCCATATACTGTACCCCTAATGCTGGAAAGTTCCACTCTCCCTCATGGCCCTATACCCTGTCCCCCCACTGGTTAATTTCTACTGCATTGCAGTGGTTTCCATATTTAGTTGTGTTTTCTTGTTAATTTGCATGCACCGCCCTCACCCCTCCCTAATTCCGCCCACCTTCCAGCATGTTCTGCCTTACAATATGTAAGGCAGGAGCCATTTTGAAGTCCACCTTCAGTTCCAGAAATCAGTTCAATTTAATAAGGTTCCTTGACCATTTCACATCTGAACCCTTGGAGTGTGTAGTCCCTCACTTCCTGAGTGAACCGCGGCAAGGAGGGGTGGGGGGAAGGTGTTTTTAAGATTATTTCACTTCTCACTCTTTTGCTCTGATCCTGTTAGTAACAAATTTAAGTAATATCCCTACTTTGAATCTGTTTTGTTCATGAAGGTAATCAGTAAGAGACCTCTCCCAGCTCTTATCTCTACTCATGAATCCTTAGCAGGTTTTTTTTCTCTCCTCTGTTCAGCTGCAGAGGGAAGTGAGAGAGTGGCTTTAGTGGGTACCTGGCATTTGGCCAGGGTCAACCCACTACACCTTTATACAGATGGTAAACTGCTTCACGGCATGGGCTGCCTTCAACTCAATCACAGGCGCGTACATTTTCCTTGGAAAGTCAGTCAGAATTCCAGACAAACCCTGCAGGCACTTGAGTGCACTCACTAGAACTAATATCCAACAACAACACTCAGCTGATTTGCTGGAATGGGAATGATACAAAAGCACAGAACTAATTTTTTGTGTCCCAATTTGGTAAAAGGCAGCAGGTGGCTTTTTTAATACAGACCCACATCACAGACTTTGTTAAACAGAAACCCTGGAACCTACAGAGACTCCAGAATTTACTTTGAACCCTGGCCTGGACAACCCTTAACCTAGTGAGCTGCTTTTTTTAACAGTGTTGGCAAAAAAAAAAAAACCAGATAGAGTATGCTGACCAGTATTCATGTGGCCCTTCCTCTAGTACTCCTTCTGACCCAGTACCAATATTTGTAAATCTCAGTAATCACAGGGGTACAAGAGGGGAACCTGAACTCTCTAAAAATCTAACAGACCTGAGGCTTTCCCAGGAAGATGTTTTGGTAGCCTACACCTGACGAGAAGAAACAGAAGTCTGTTTCCCGTATTAGGAAACAAACATGCTCAAAAGTTACAATTAGACATGGTGGAAGAATTGTTCAGTACTTACCCAGTTTCAAAGCATGAAAGACATCAGGTTGCTTCTTTTCTGTATCTGGAAGGAATATAAATATTTCTATTAGCAATCAATAAAAAAGCAATAATTTCTAGTAATTTTTTTATAGCAAAAACTACTAAAAATTACATAAAAGTACTACAAAACATATGTTTAGACATACATTTAATAATAACAAAGAAACCACTGACAACAACTTTATCCCCTTTGGGAAGAGTAACTCACCTGTATGGTTCCCTTTGCAGAGCTAAAGCTACAAACCATAATACAGCACCAGCACAGGTTTTTCAAATTCCATTCTCTATCAGGAAATTGTATTTGGTAACTCTAGTGTTTCCTGCCTGGAAGACTAAAATATCCGTTAACGAACCACAGTATAGTTCTGTGGTCAGGTGTAATCCTCTGTACAATAGTGAACACTCAAATAGTACAGGATTATTTTACAAGGTGTTTTAGAAGCTGTCCCAGTTTCATTTCCTCTTGAGTATTGCTGGGTTAATTTGTGAAAAATAACAGTGACAGTTTACCTACACATCTTGTTATCTGTGCATCAATAGATATCTTTCTGCTTCCAGATTGCCATTCCCATTAATAAGAACTGCAATTATTACAAATTGTAATATTTTGAGTGAAGGATCATTCCTCTGACATTCTATTCTCCTCGCTTTAACAGCCTTCTTCGGTACACTTTTAAGTGGTGTGACCACAGAAGGTTTTTCAAGATTCATCAACCCAACTCTGTCTGCACATACATCCTGTACATCCATGTGTATATTCATATATATTCATGTCTATTCCTCAAGGGACTGGTCATGAGCAAACATCTACAGTCAACCAGTTCTGCCTGGCAGTGTGGCTGTATGAAAGCCTTAGAGCTCCAGCTTAACTCAGGAGTCAACATCTGACTAACACCTTCCCTGAAGCAGAAACAAATGTCTGATTTTTGTCCTTACTTCTTCAAATACACAAGAAGCTTGACCTGCAGGAATGGTACCAAATGTAAATAAAAATTAACAGTTCTGGGGATTGTGGACGTGTCTACGTGGCAGTGCAATATAGACACAAATAGGTAAGATTTAAGTAAGCCTATTTAGGTATCACAGGTGGCATAGAGTTTAAAGTGGACTATCCTACCCTGCAGAGTTTCTGCCACCGTGGCTGGATGGGTGGTAGCATCTACAAAAGGATCTTTCTAGAGCTAGACACATCCTTAGATTTTATAGCAAGCACTCCAAAGCTGGAAAATCCAAATACAGCTCTTCCAAATCCTCTTGCTGAGCACCTCTCAGCGCTGGTCTGCATCACAAAGCATAAATATCTTGAAAAGTGTCTCGAAAACAGCCACATACAGAATAAGGTCTCAGTCTCTGAAATGACTTATTGACGTTCAAATGTCCTACACAATGTTCAAATCAAACTGATTAATTAAGTATTCCCCACTCCTCCAAGGATCAGAGAAGTAAGGGACATGCTATTCATCCACATTAATACTCAGTTTTCTTAAAATACACAATCCACTTTCAAAGGACTTGGAGTAGGTTTCATATTCAGAGTGGTAGAAGAAAACATTAAGTTAACCTCATCTGGTTTTCTGTGTGTCACAGGCCTTGTATGCAACACCCAATGAAGACAACCCAAGAACAAGTTTTAGAGAGGCATTTAACCTTGACTGCAACTGTTAGAGATTGCACACCTCTATCAAGTCACTTCAGCTCAAAGCTTCACCACAGTATATTATTTCCTGTTTAAATTCCTCTAACTTTAAACTCACAGCTTTTTAATTTCGCAACCACATAAAAAGGCCCTCCACTATTTGACCTTCTGTCTTTAACACGGACACTTTATTAACCTCACTTCTTAATCACTTCATCATGAAACTAGACAGACTGAACTCTTCAGTCTTTCCTGACAAGTCACGTTTGCTAGATTTTCTATCTTTTAGGTTTTCATTGAGTCTGCAACATCCTTTCTTTGATATCCTATTCTGGTTTTTATGCCACTTCTTTGTGTCATTTCAAATAGGCCTTTATAATTTTCCTCCTAAATGAGCACCTGGATCATGTGCTTGAAAAGTAAAAAGTATGTTTCACATAATTCTTATTATGTTTCACATGATTCTTATTGCAAGACAGTATCCTCACCCTGCTAATGTGGAAAAAAATCTGTTGATGTTGGACACTCGTACCTCACCTGAAGTAGGTGTACCTACTCCGATATAGTCAAAATAGTCTAGTTACAAACTATAAAGAACATCATGCACATACACAATGAGACTTTCCATTTCTAAATACACAATCAAAACTGCAAGAAAGTGAAACAAAAATAACACTCCATACCTGCCTGAGGTCTGATCGTTGTGAGAGATTCCAAGTAGTCCTTCATGTCTTTGTGTTTGAAGCCAACAGAGATTTCAAAAGGTGTTTTATGTAGTACATTCAGGTGATCAGGATTGGCACCTTTCTCCATGAGCTGCTGTGCCAAGCTCACCTTTCCACTAACAGCTGCCAGCATTAAAGGACTCCAGCCCATCGTCTTCACAGTGTAATTACAATCAGCTCCCCAGTCCAGTAACAGATGTACCACTGCCTCATGTCCATGCTGAGCAGCTGCCATTAATGGAGTGATATCGGGAAGGTCGTCTCTGCTGCTGTTAAGTACATTTGTGCCGAAATGATCGTAATTGTCTACAAAAGCTCCGGATTCCAGCAACAACTTCACCATGCTGACGTGGCCACCTCTGGAGGCCATTGTGAGGACACTGGCTCCTAACTTATTCTGTGCATTGAGATCAGCACCATTTTCCAGCAAGATGTGGGCCACACTTAGATGTCCAAACCTTGAGAGAAAGAGAAAGGGAGGAGAACTAACACCTTGGATGGCCAAAACCAACATATTCTGAACTCAGAAAACTCTCATCGAATTGGCCTGTTGACTAATACACTATGAGGGATCATACACACAACACTGAACATGACAGTGATCACCTCATTGGAGGAGAGCAATTGTCAGCTGAGGACTGTAAACTAAACCATTCCACATATACCAGTGACCACGCCCATAAAGCAGACCCCTATTTAAGAGGACGGTCTGGTTAAAGCAGCAACCTGCCAGCCTCATTTTCAGCTGCATGGTACCAACTCATAACTAACATGAACCAGAAGGTCACTTTCATTTTATTTCTAGGGCTGTATCACATTCAAGAATCAAAGCCAATTTGTTTCCAGAGATCTTAATTAAGTATCCTCATTACTACTGAACTAGTAGAGTAAAAACTGCAAAGAGTGCTAAATAAAAAAAAAAGAAAAATGGTCATTTTATGAACTGGATAGCTAGTCTTTTATATTTGCATTATCCCCTGTTTTCCAGTTGTGAACCATCAATTAACGCCCACAATGAAAGAAGACACGAATGTGCCTATAAAGCTCAGATGAACAGCCAGTGGCCACAGCTGTTGTAGTGTAACCTGAACTTCACTCAACACCAAGGGGATCAGAGAGAGAAATGGCTCTATTAGAAGAGTGGGACAACTGTCTGTGTGAATGGCCTTCCCTACAACAATCAATGGAAAATATTCTGCTTCTAAGTCAACCAGACCAGCATGGGGGAAGTGTTTATACAGTTCAGCCCAACATAGAGCACCAAAACTGAGCAACCAACAAAATGAATTTTGAAGAGAGCAAGGCACTTGAGCTGGGCTTGGCTTCCAGTCACATACTCCTCCCTGGTAATTGGGGATACCCAGTGTGTGAGTTGACACAGACAGGCAGCTGTAACCACCACAAATTTGCAGCTAAAATGCAAAAAGTAAATTCATTTCTGTTAAATTGTGAACCAGGGAATCCACAAAGCAACACACAGGCAGAGGTAAGCAATCAGAGACACAGGCATCATCATCAGTCTGTGCTAGAGCATCACTGGCCTGCTGTTCACACAGGCTTATCAAGAGTTAGTCCCAGCTGGAAGGTCTCTTGGGAGATTTATAATCCTGTTGGACAGTCTTCTGATTTTTAACCCATTCCTCCCAACACCCAGCATTGTGATGGTGAGCCTACAGGGACTGGTAATGGCTGTGCTGTTTGTCTTCTGGTTTGACTGTCTATTGTGCAATTGCTGTGTCAGGCTTGTGCTACAATTTCAGGAGACTGCTGTATCACTGGGCTAAATCAAAACCCTATGTAACATCCAGTACGTTCCAATAAAGAAAGCTGGAATGAAATCATTAAAGCCTCCTTGTGTAGAATATCTACAAGAACTTGGTCAGAGTACTGAACTCAGACACCAGTTTTATCAGTAACCAAGCTTTGATACGACTTGATTATCAGAGGCTCTGGTAGTTTGTCAGTAAGCAAAAGACAATCGTGCAAGCCATACACCCAAACAGCTAGGTAACCATGAGGAAAAGGAAAACCTTTACTGTTCCTCAGGTGAGGAACCCCACATTTTAATAAACATAATACTTTGACAAGATGTGCGCCTTGTGCTCTTGTTGCAGACATTATGCATAACTGTATGTTTGTACAGTGCTTGTAACACAATCCAACTTCAATACTAAAAGCAGTCTTTGTACACTGCAGCAGAGCAAATGTTAGTTGAGGAATTCCTGAATAATGCTACTAACCACTAAAAGCAAACGTGAGACCAAATGTCCTTAGTTTCCTTTCAGAAAGTACACAGTTGCAGGAGGAAGCCTCCAGGGCCTGCATAGTCACAAGGTCTATCCTGGTAGCCTTCACTGCATCACCTCAGTAGAGCCTGCAACCCCTGTACACAGATTAATTTTATGCACATATGCTATCTCCTGTGCAATTTCAATAGGACTAACGACAGCCAGAAAATTAAACACTACATAGTCTCAAACTTACCTTGGTATAAACACTATGTTTCCTTTTTGGTTATCCATTAAAAAGAAAAAAGAAACATGCTCTTCTACTTTATGCTTTCTGCACAGGTTTCAATAATACATATAATACTTTTCAAGTGTCAGCAAGTAACTTCTTGAAATCAGTGAGAGGGTTATAGTGATTTGACTTTATTGTTTTTAGAGAATGAGCGTATGGTTTTCATTAAGGGGAAAAAATCGAAGACTGTTTCTGCAACTATTTTTCCTTTTTTTTTTAACCTTCATAAAATAACAAAATTGTTGAACCTTGTCTTCCTTGTTCTTGCTGGGGAACCAGCTGTGTGACTCATTCTTTGGGAACTTTCTATGGCCGTTAATTGAAAAGAGAAATGTTGACTTTGAAACAGAGTCTTTTCTTTCAAGTATTCAAACGCTATGAAACTGAAAAAAAAAAGACCAAAACACAAAAAAAACATTTCTCCTCTCAATTAAGCATTCAGTTATTATAGCAAAGCACTGCCCTCCAACCCCGCAAAACATGCCTGTGAGCCCAAGGCATACTTGTACGTGTAAAGATAAGCACCAATACCAGCATGAGCAACTCGAGGGCCTCCCACAGTCTAGCAGTGGGTTACAGAAAGCACAGCATCACCGATGCAGAAAACAACACAGTTTTGTCATTAAAAACTCTCAGCAATGATTTTCCATATCCTCCAGCAAGCACACATGGGAAAGCCAAGGGAAATTAATTGCGTCTGTTTGCTTCAGTATGTTTTATGTCAGACGATGACTTTTCAACAACTAGGTAAGACACATACATACCACCCCAAAAAAAATAAAAATTAAGTAAGGGTACGTTCGTATCCTATTGTCACAGAAGGAAAGAGGGGAGCAGTGTTTTTACGTTCGGGTTACCTTTGACTGCAATTCTGCGCTGGCTTTATTCAAGAAATAGCGTTCACTGCTTCAATCACCACAAAAGATAAAAACCTAATGCCCCAGAGCAACACTTACCCAAATCTACACCAGACAACCCCTCCTTACCCACCCCCAGGGACGGGAACAGGTGACGGCTCGATCCCCGGACATAACGCCGGGATACACCGGCGACGACCGACCGCAGCCTCCAACATGGCGCCCGCCCGCTCTCCCACACGCCTGACCCGCCTGGAGCTCCCCAGCGCTCCCGGGCGCCCTCTCCTGGCCCGGGGACCGGGATTAGAAGGGCAGGGGAGTCGAGAGCCCGCGGCAGCCCTGGGGCGGGGAAGGCTCAGTCTCGGCGGCCCTCCCTCCCTTCCCCGCCCCGGCGCTGCCGCCGACTAGGCCGGTGCCCCGCGGCGAGGCGGGATAGCGGCCGGAGAGCCGCTCTGGTCCCGCTCCCCCCCTCCCGTACCTGGCCGCTTGCATGAGGGGGCTCCATCCGTAGTGGTTCCTGCTCTGTACCGAGGCGCCCTTCCGCAGCAGGAACCGCACTAGCTGCTCGTGCCCGCCCGCCGCGGCGAACTGCAGCCCCGTGTTCCCGGCCTCGTCCGTGCAGTCCACGGGCACGGCAGGGGTCGGCGGGGCCGCCGCTTCTCCGCGGGGCTCCGCCGCCGCCTCCTCGGGGCCGCAGGAGGAGGAGGCCGCCAGGTCGGCGGTGCCTCCGCCGCCGGCGGGCAGCCCCAAGAGGCGCCGGGCGGTCTCGCAGTCGCCCTGCTCGCAGGCGCGGAGGAAGAGCTGGACCTGGGGGGGCACGCCGCTCTCCCCCATGGGCAGCGCCGCCGGGCCCCGCGCAACTCAGCCGCCCGCCACCGCCTCCCCGCCAGCGGCTCGGCGGCCGCCGGGAAGGCACCGGGAGGAGGGGACTCCGCCGGCGGGAGGAGGCCGGCCCAGGGCGGCCGCTGCGCCCCGGCCGCGCTTCGCAGGGCGGGAAGGGGGCGCCGGGCTGGGCCGCGCTCCGCGGAGCCGGCGAGGGGCTTCCCTACCTGGCCGGGGCCTCGGCGTCTCCCCTGCCCAGCCGGCAGTGCCGCCCCGCCTCGCCCAGCCAGCGCCGGGGTCCCCACGGCTCCTGGCCCAGGGGGATTCTGTCATCTGGGCTGCGGACGTTTTCCACACCGTGACTGACTCTCACACAAATAAGTGTATCCGCCCGGGGTCATGGCAGCAAGCCTTCGCTACGGAGCTTATTCGCTGTCGCCTGACACAGTAATCCCTTTTCTTTGCTTCACAACGTGACTTCTACAGCTTGGCACTGTCCCTCTATCAGCCCCACTCTGCTTATGTGATACTTCAGCCTTTACTTGGACCTTCCTAGTTTGTCTTTCTTTTAGCTCCAAAACTAAAAGTCTCTCCCTTCACTAACAGGATTCCAAGATGAGTCTTCCCTAAAGAACCCCCATACTTTTCCCACCGCCTGACAGCACTGGTTAGTCTTTCAGTTCAAAGACTTTGAGCATAAAATTTGGATTTTTCAGGTACCTCTCTTTAGCTTCAGCCTCCCAGGTAAACTGAAATTTTTTCCAGGTTGTTCTGGTTTACAAGATCTAAAGCGAGGAAAAAAATAAAGCAAACTCTTGAATTTAGTCACTGAAGAATATCATGTTGTGTACCTGCAAGTTCAGGCACATAATCTTCTATGAAAATCAGTTACTTCAAAGGCAGAACAGGGCACTTATTACAGTGGTGGAAAGTTTGGGGATGAGAGGACTAGGAAAGCTTATAGGGAGTGTAGTAAAACCACCAAATGCCATTAAAATGAAGCAATCCCCTGGTTTTAGGCAGTGGCATCCTTATCTTCCAAGTTACACAGCTTTTTGACTTGGAGCCACTTGTGAATCCAGATTGCCAGACCATCATGGCAAAGGGCCAAACAAGTTACACTTGGAGAAAGTCTACAGCAGTCCTAGCTGTGGTTATGGCCACTTTTCCTCTGGGAAAGTACCATTCACAGCAAAGAAAAAAAAAATTGCTTATTTATCGTTACAGAAGTAATAGAACAAATTCCTAGTGAGGGCACATATTCAGTGATGCTTCCTTCATTATAGATGTGTTAACTCATAGAATATTTAAATATGTAACATATATACTTAGGTTAAATAATTTCCTTAACCATAAAGAAGCTTACATTGGCCATCTTCAGAGGGAAGATGCATGGCTAGGTAGACTTTTGATCCAGCCAGTACTGCCATTCTTAAATTACCATTTAAGCTTGCCATTATCAATAAAGGTGGATGGTGCAATTTACTCTGTTTAATATTTCAGAGCTTGGAAGAAGGGAATGACAAGAGTAATTAATGTAACACATTATTCATGATGGAAGAAAACTGGGTCATACTTACCATGTCAAAGTGCATGCTCAGATATAGTCAAATTAGTGACACAATCACTCCAGTTTTTCTTTGAGATAAGCTAATGTACATAGTGATTGTACAAATTTATGTTATGTAGCTGATGATTACAATATCAATTTCTACTAATGGTTTGAAACTCCAGACAAAGATATCATTAATGTAATTAGGAACCTAACAGCAAAGATAAAACTCTTATTTTAATAAACTTATAAGTAATCAATAGAAAATCTTTGTTGGGGGTTACAAAATGAGAGAAGAAATTATTTGTGATGAATTTTGCTGCTGTTATCTGATGGTCATTACTATCTTCATTTGGCATCCTAGGCATTTATACTAGTATGATCAGTCAGTGATTTCTGTCACTGAATGAGAATCAAGGCAAGGAAAAAATAATCAGATTTCTTCTGAAATTAATGAAGTGCTATAGAATATTCTCATGGATGATGCAGTACCAAGCTCTCTGGAAAATACAGTATTTGTTTTCTTCGCCAATGAAAGAACAACCTAAGCCTTTCAAACTGTTCATTAGGGTAAGATGATGGAGAAAGCTTAGGTTGGAAGATCACAGAATCAAGAATATGCAGAGTTGGAAGGGACCCACAAGGATCATTGAGTCCAACTCCTAGCCCAGTACAGGACCATCCCCAAGAGCCTGAGAGTGTTGTCCAAATACTTCTTGAACTGTGTCAGGCTTGGTGCTATGACTACTTCCCTGGGGAGCCTGTTCCAGTGCCCAACCACCCTCTGGGTGAAGAACCTTTTTCTAATATCCAAGTCACCTCCCCTGACTCAACTTCAGGCCATTCCCTCTTGTCCCATCACTGGTCACCACAGAGAAGAGATCAGTGCCTGCCCCTCCTCTTCCCCTCACGAGGAAGTTGTAGACAGCAATGAGGTCTCCCCTCAGTCTCCTCTTTTCCAGGCTGAACAGACCAAATGACCTCAGCCACTCCTCATATGGCTTACCCTCAAGGCCCTTTACCATCTTCGTTGCCCTCCTTCATATTTTCTCTAAGAGCTCAATATTGTTTTTATATTGCGGTGATCAAAACTGCACACAATATTCAAGGTAAGGACACACCAGTGCAGAGTTTACAGTACAATACAGATAATGCAGATAATACAGGACAAAACAAAACCAAGATTCTCAAGTGCAGATTGTGTGTTGGTTGTTCAGAAGATTCATCCAAACTGCATCTTGTTTGTCCAGTCAGCGAAATTCCTTCCAGACAAGAAATTCCTTCACATCAATTCTGTGCTAATCTGTATAGGTCAATGTTGGATTGCTCTGAGGTAAAAATAATTTAAAATGACAGAAGAAACCCTAATGAAGAAATTACTTTAGAAAAAAGGAGATGAGAAAAGTGCAAGGAACAGGACAAGCCTGCCAAAAAGTGCCGAACAGATAAAGCAAGAACAAAAATGTGAGCTCAACATTTGTGAAACTTTTCTAACATAAGTCTCCACTGCTAATGATATCATCTTGAGCACAATCATGTGGCACATGCAGGACGGCCAGGGGATCAGACCCAGCCAGCATGGATTTAAGAAGGGCAGATTCTGCCTGACCATGATCTCCTTCTATGACCAGGTGACCTGTCTGGTGGATGAGGGGAAGGCTGTCGATGTAGTCTATCTAGACTTCAGCAAAGCCTTTGACACCATCTCCCATAGCATACTCCTGGAAAAGCTGGCAACCCACAGACTGGACAGGGGCACTCTCTGCTGGGTTAAGAACTGGCTGGTGGCTGGGCCTAGAGAGTGGTGGTGAACAGTGCTGCATCCAGTTGGCAGCCAGTCACTAGTGGTGTCCTCCAGGGATCAGTGTTGGGCCCAGTCCTGTTTAATATCTTTATTGATGATCTGGATGAGGGGATCGAGTCTACATTAGCAAATTTGCAGTGACACCAAGTTAGAGGGGAGTGTCGGTTTGCTGGAAGGCAGGAGGGCTCTGCAGAGGGATCTGGACAGGCTGGATAGATGGGCCAAATCCAGTGGGATGAGGTTCAACAAGGCCAACTACTGGGTCCTACACTTTGCCCACAACAATCCTGTGGAGCACTACAGGCTGGGGACAGAGTGGCTGGACAACGGCCAGGCAGAAAGAGACCTGGGGGTTCTGGTTGACAGCCAGCTGAACATGAGCCAGCAGTGTGCCCAGGTGGCCAAGAAGGCCAGTGGCATCCTGGCCTATCAGCAACAGGACCAGGGAAGTGATTCTTCAGTACTCAGCACTGGTAAGGCCGCACCTCGAGTGCCGTGTCCAGTTCTGGGCCCGTCAATTTAGGAAGGATATTGAGGTACTGGAGCGTGTTCAAAGAAGGGCAACAAGACTGGTGAAGGGTCTGGAGCACAAGCCCTATGAGGAGCAGCTGAGGGAGCTGGGGTTGTTTAGCTTGGAGAAGAGAAGCCTCAGGGGAGACCTTATCACTCTACAACTACCTGAAAGGAGGTTGTAGCCAGGTGAGAGTCTCTTCTCTCAGGAAACTAGCAATAGGACAAGAGGACACAGCCTTAAGATGCACCAGGGGAGGTTTAGGTTAGTCTTTAGGAAGAAGTTCTTCACAGAAAGAGTGATCAGACATTGGAATGCGCTGCCCAGGGAGGTGGTGGAGTCACTGTCCCTGGAGGAGTTTAAGAAAATAATGGACGTGACACTTAGTGCCATGGTCTAGTTGACATGGTCATGTTTGGTCATAGGTTGTACTCAATGATCTCTAAGGTCTTTTCCAACCTAATTGATTCTGTGAGTCTGTGAAAACACCAGCAGGAAGATGTAAGCTTTATGGATGCTACTCATCAAAGAAAGTTACATAAAGGAGATAAACTTAGAGCCATTCTTCTGCAAGACATAGAACTCACCATTTGCAAAACAAAGACGAGGAAACCATTAGGGCACATAACACACGGGTGGAACTAGTAAAGTAAGTATAATATGGCAAAAAGCAGGGATGTAGAGCTACAAATTGGCCAGGTAACATGACAAAAAATTCTGTTGCCCTTACGGTAATAATAGGTTGTAATACATATGGACATATACCTTAATACATGAGCAAATTTCTACAGGATCACATAATATGGAAGATTGTAAAGTTACCATCATAATCAAAAGCATCAAACAGAAATGTAAAAATGCAAGTAGTCAAGCAATCTGTTTCTGAAGAAATCCATAAAACTAGAGGCAGCTGACTCACTCATACTCTGCATTATGAAAGTCTGCAGATATTGACATCTCAAATCCCCAAATACGATGGCCTTTTTTCATGGCAATTTAAGGAGTAAAAGGCTTGTTTTCTACTGTAAAACCTTACTGATGTGAATCACAAGGAAGACACACTTCTAAGACAAAGAAAACTGAAATTTTTAGCATTTGTTTTGTGTGACAACACTTATCTCTGCCTTAATGAAAAGGCAGACATATATTAGAAATACCATCACAGAAAAGCAAGTACTTGCCCAGTATCACTGGACTCATATATGTTAGCTTTGGTCCTTTTAGGCATAGAAACAGAAATAACCTTGAAAAAATTACTAA